AAAAAAAAAAAGAAAGGAAAAGAAGAGGAAAATAGGAGGAATTTGGTCGAAATAACCTTTTCAGAACAACAAATTGTTCAAGTAACCTTTTCAAAATAACATTTAGCTAAATAACATTTGACCAAAAGAAAATCTTATAAAATAAAAAAGAAAGTTGAAAATTACTATTATATCCTTATTTGAAGTATTATTTTGTTATAGGTATATAAAATGAATTATACCTTAACGAATATAAAACGAGATATGGAAATCTTGAAAAAATAGATAAATGAGTTATTTAAATATGTTCAATAACAGTCTAAAGATTCTAAACAAGATTTAGAACCGATAGCAGCTAAAATAATCCTTGATATTAAGCAAGAAATTGCTAAATGTCCTTGTAAAGAAGAAAATAAAAAACTGAAAGTGATTTCTAGTCAAGAAAAGAATATACATTTTTCTAAATACTCATATCCTAATGATCTAGTAGGAAATGAAGAATTAGAAAGTTCAGGAAATCCTAATGCTTTTAAAGAGCCAAAGGATGCACTGAAAAAAATGAATTTTCAAGAAAAACTTGAAAAAAATCTCTGGAATCTAATTAATTTAGATTTGGATGATAAACAAGCTATCCAGCTTGAACATACAATTTGTTTTTTAGAAATGAATGAGGAACAGTGTAATTCACATTTAGAATTAAGTCCTGAAATGAAAAAAATTGTTACAAATTGATGAAAATGACCAGTTTCATCAAATTGAAGAAACTGAAACTGACACTCAGTCAGAATCAGAAATAAACTTCAATGATGAGAAAGAACTTTTAAAGAAAATTTCAGAATGGAAAAACCAGAATCATCTGGAACAAAAAATGATCAGTATATGAATGTTGATGAATTTGAAAGAAAACCATCAGTAACTCCTAGACCACCCAGGTCATCTAATAACAATGTCGGTATTTCTGGTATTGCTGGAGAAGTACATACAGCCTCAATCCTAGATTTAGACTGTAAGAAACCTGAAACAATTAAGAAATTGATTGATAAATGGGGACTAGAAATGAGTCTTGTGATTAATCTTAATCCCAGTACTTTCAATATAGCACAACTTGTGGTAGCACTTGCCGAGCATAGAATGCTTGGAAATGCACAAAATTTTATAAAAGGAGTTCAATGAGATAATCAAAATGTAGACCCTGCAGTAATGCTCGAAAGAATTTTGAATAGTCTATATACTTTGTTTTTCGGCATTGATCGAGTATCAAATGCAGAAATGAAAAATTTATGGAGCAATCTAAAGCAAAGGTAAGATTAAACAATCTGACTCTTTGTGATATTTGTTATATTAACGAATTCAATTGTGATGTTGAAAAGAATCTTTTCAAAATAGATTTTGGAGAACATCCTGAATAAATTAGAATGTATTTAACAAAAATTTCTATTGTAGGAAATGGTGCTTCAAAGAAATATGAAACAGCTAAAAATCTTATGAAGTATAGTTTTGGTTATGCCAAAAGACTCGTGAGAGAGGAAATTGAAAAAATTTGTAATGCTACTACAAAGCAAAAACAAATAAGAAGTTAAACAGAAACTGTTGTTCTAAAATTTATGAGAAATCTACAGATTATGGTTGCAAACCATTTAAAAGAAAATCTAAGAAAAAATATTCTAGAAAGTTTAAGTACCAGAAAAGAAAGAAGAGAAGAACTTTTAAACCTGGTAAATATTTTAGGAAGAAACAGAAGTTTTCACCTAAGAAAAACTTTTGCCCAAAAGGGAAAAAGAATTGCAGATGTTGGATCTGTAACATAGAAGGTCACTATGCAAATGAGTGTCCTAACAGACAAAAATCTAAGTAAAATTTCTTCAGATTGCAGAATCATTTGGTCTTGAACCAATTGAAGAAGAATATTCAGATATAGAAGAAGTCTATATAATGGAAAAATTAGAAGATGAATCCTCTTCAGGAACATCTAGTACAAAAAACAGTGATACAAAGTGAGGATAACCTCATCAGTATTACAAACCCGAATTCAATCTACATTAAAGGTAAGTTCAAATTCACAAGTTATAAATAAATGGAAATACATTGTTTTGTGGATACAGATGCAAGCCAATGTTTATCTTCAAAACAAATTATTCCTGAAGAACATTGGGAAAATTCTTCCAGAATATTGCAAGTAAATATTGCAGATGGAAGTTCAATATCAATAAATAAAGTTTATAAAAATTTAAATATGATGAATGCAGGAGAAATATTTCATAATCCAACTGTTTATCAACAAGAATCTAGAATGGATTTTGTTCTAGGAAATAATTTTTGTCAATTATATGAACCTTTTGTTCAATACACTGATAGGATAATTTTTACCAAAAATAATCAACCTGTACATATAGAGAAATTGAGAACAACATACAGGGTTGGAAATCCAGGATATTTAGATTCTATGAAGAAGAAATCTATATACAAAGACCTGAACCAGTTCAAATAACTACTGATAAAATATCACTTCTTAAAGATAGGGGGAAGAGGTTATTAGAGTTTAGGACAGAAATGAACATTTTGTTCTTAATCAACAAAAAATTCTATAATAGAGAAACTATGGAAAAAAGTTTGTGCAGAAAATCCACTTGATCCTAATAAGACCAAGTATTGATGAAGGCTTCTATCAAATTGATAGATCCTAAAAGTGAATTTGTGGTGAAAGTAATGAGCTATACACCCAAAGATAGAGAAAAACTTAATCAACAAGTTCAAGAAATGCTTGACATGATAGTCATCATTCCTAGTAAGTCTCCTGATAGACCACCAGCATTTTTGGTAGATAAAAAAAGGAACTTCAAAACGAAGAATTGTTATTGATTATTGAGAGGTTAATAAGAAAACAATTGGCGATGGTCATAATTTACCAAATAAAGATGAACTCTTATCTTTGTTAAAAGGAAAAACAATATTTACATCTTTCGATTGTAAATCAGGTTTTTGGCAAGTCCTTTTAGATAAGGAATCCCAATTACTAAAAGCTTTTACATGCTCACTAGGACATTACCAGTTTGTGGTAGTACCTTTTGGTTTAAAACAAGCGCGATCAATTTTTCAAAGGCATATGAACAATGCATTTAGAAAGTTCGAAAAACTCTGTTGTGTATATGTTGATGACATTCTCATCTTCAGTTACACAGAACAACAGCACTATAAGCATGTTGCAATAGTTTTGGAAGAATGTGACCGATTAGAAATAATCATGTCTGAAAAGAAAACTCAATTATTTAAAACAAAAACTGAATTTTTAGGATTAATAATTGAAGAAGGTTTTCACAAACCTCAAAATCATATTTTGGAACATATTCATAAGTTCCCAGATAAACTTGAAGATAAGAAACATTTAATGCACTTTTTAGGTGTATTAACTTATGCTTCAGATTATGTTCCTAAATTGGCCAATATAAGAGCTCCTTTACAAGCTAAATTAAAGGAAGATAAAAAAATGGTATTGGTCAGAAACCGATACTAATTACATAAAGAAAATAAAGAAAAATCTAACCAATTTTCTTTTATTATATCTTCCTAAAATGAATGATCAGTTAATCATGGAAAAAAATGCATCAAATGTATAATGGGGTGGTGTTTTAAAGGCACTATCTAAGCAAAAAGAGTATATCGGTCAATATGCCTCAAGAAGTTTTAATTCTGCTGAGAAGAATTATCACTCAAATGAAAAGAAATATCTTGCGGTAATAAAAACTATAAATAAATTCACAATTTATCTTACTCCTTATAGATTTATCGTTAGGACAAATAACAAAAACTTCACTTATTTCTTAAAAACAAAGATGAAAGGTGATAGTAAACAAGGTAGATTTGTAAGATGTCAAATGTGGCTTAATCAATATGAATTTGATGTGCAGCATATTGCAGGAAACAAGAATGTCC